CTTCTGTGTATTGGAGGACAGAGATCTTCTGTGTATTGGTGGACAGAGATCTTCTGTGTATTGGAGGACAGAGATCTTCTGTGTATTGGAATAATGCGATCTTCTGTGTATTGGAGGACTGAGATCTTCTGTGTATTGGAAGAATGAGATCTTCTGTGTATTGGAGGAATGAGATCTTCTGTGTATTGGAGGATAGAGATATTCTGTGTATTGGAGGATAGAGATATTCTGTATATTGGAGGATAAAGATCTTCTGTGTATTGGAAGAATGAGATCTTCTGTGTATTGGAGGACCGAGATCTTCTGTGTATTGGAGGACAGATATCTTCTGTGTATTGGAATAATGAGATCTTCTGTGTACTGGCGGACAGAGATCTTCTGTGTATTGGAGGACAGAGATCTTCTGTGTACTGGCAGACAGAGGTCTTCTGTGTACTGGCGGACAGAGGTCTTCTGTGTATTGGCGGACAGAGATCTTCTGTGTATTGGAGGACAGAGATCTTCTGTGTATTGGAGGACTGAGATCTTCTGTGGTCTTTCAAAGATTTTGTTGAGTTCTGTGTAGTAAAATTTAACTGGATTATTAGTGATATAAATAAACTGACCAGTGTTTGTCATATTGTAATATTTTACAGTAAATACCTCTTTACGGACATCCGGTAGGGTCAACCATAATGGAATAATAATTGGACCTAAGAGGATGTAGTTTAATCTTTTCCGCCAGGTGTCAGGCCAAGACATATCGAGGGGAGTCTCGGTCGTCTCTTCTTCCTCCGGAATGGCGGTTTGTTGTAATTCCTAAAAAACTTCAACCATTATCTATCTATCTAGTTGTAGCATATTTCAAATATCTTAACATTTTAATGCTGTAATCACTTTCGTTAGCTTAAGACGGAATTTAGTAACTTAGAACTATTGTTTCGCCATCTAGTGGCATCTACTTTCCCTCAAAATTATTTTCTATTATTATTATCATTACCAACTAAAATATATTTTGTTGCTTTTAAAAACAGATAATCAGTTATTAGTAACAACCCTGACCTTATTACACAAGTTATCTACACTCTAGTATCGTTATTAGTAATAACCTTGACCTTATTACACAAGTTATCTACACTCTAGTATCGTTATTAGTAATCTAGTATCGTTATTAGTAATAACCTTGACCTCATTACACAAGTTATCTACACTCTAGTATCGTTATTAGTAACAACCCTTACCTCATTACACAAGTTATCTACACTCTAGTATCGTTATTAGTAACAACCCTGACCTCCACAAGTTATCTACACATTACACAAGTTATCTACACCCTAGTATCGTTATTAGTAACAACCTGACCTCATTACACAAGTTATCTACACTCTAGTATCGTTATTAGTAACAACCTTGACCTTATTACACAAGTTATCTACACTCTAGTATCGTTATTAGTAATAACCTTGACCTCATTACATAAGTTATGTACACTCTAGTATCGTTATTAGTAACAACCTTGACCTTATTACACATAATATTTTTCACCAGGTAGTCTATAACAATTACTAATTAAATACCTTTTGATTAACATTTTTGTCATAAATCTCAATAGGATCCATTTTATCCCTTTTATAAAAAGTCGACCAATATCCTGTTTTAAAAAGTGACTATTAAGTAACTTATAACCCAGAATTTACTAGTAACTCCAAGTTTAACCAAGTTTCAGTAATTTCCATTAGATCATAATCTTTTATTTGAACTCGGAGCCTGAAATAATCAGCTTTGTTCCTGATATTAGAATAATGTGACTTAGACTTACTCTTGAATCTGTTAGCGTTATTTCTAAAATCTAAGACTTACCTTTAAAACTATTATTTAAGTGGTCGTGTCCTAAAGTTATTTTTATAGTCTCCTCGTTATCCTAGTTTTTTTTTTATTCACAATCTCCAAAGTATTCTCACCAGTATGGAAATATACTTTTATGTGTGTTTAATAAATATCTTTAGATCTTCTCCAAACACCCTTCTGTTTAAGTGGTGCCCATCTCCAGAACCCTCACCCTGAAAACCATCCCACAGATCCAACTAGTCAAACACCATTCTACCTAGTCTGTTTAAGTGGTGCCCATCTCCAGAACCCTCACCCTGAAAACCATCCCACAGATCCAACTAGTCAAACACCATTCTACCTAGTCTGTTTAAGTGGTGCCCATCACCAGAACCCTCACCCTGAAAACCATCCCACAGATCCAACTAGT